AGAGTAATCACGGTAGGGTCGTTCATCCTTGGTACCGGATGAACCGGAGTTGAGTTTGACATCTTCATCACTAGCCATGGTTGTAGAACACACACAACAAATTACAGCGGAAACAAAAACTTTCACAGCAAGGTTAAGGTTTCTCACGCGTAAGGGTATTTTGGTTTTGGTGGGCACTCAAGGTCACCAGAATTTTAATTCTCTGATGCCAAGTCAAATTGTATATGGGCAAAATTATATATTATTCCTCTCTGAATGGAGTATATATAGGTTTACAATGAGTCCTATACAAGTAAATCAATTATACAAGGAAACAAATAAAATCCCTAATATAGTGCCAATTAAATACAATTGATATAATCAACACAAATCGCTACATTCTAGAACGTTATTGTGCTCCGTTTTACGCCACGTCTTCTGTTAACTCCAAGTACCCCAGGTCTTTTCTTAGAGTCTTTTTCCAAGTCTTCCTAGGTCTTCCTCTACCTTTTTTTCCATGAGCCTTTGTCTCATAATCGCATCTTCTAATGAAAGCATTTGTAGGTTTTCGGTTTATATGTCCAAACCACTTTAACCGATTTTCTCTAATCTTATTTTTTTTTGCAGCCACTCTTACCTTAGGTATTCTCATTCTTAATTATGTCCATTTTCGTGTGCTCACACATCCAGCGAAGCATTCTCATCTCCGCTACACTCATTTTTTCTACGTGTTGCTACTTCACTGCATAACATTTTGTGCCATAAAACATTGTTGACCTTATTGTCGTCCTATAAAAATTTCACTAGAGCTTCAGTGGCCTACAACGGTCGCACAACATACTCAATGCACTATTCCACTTCATCCATCGAGCTTGTATTCTATGGTTAAGATCTCTGTTCAATTCTCCATTCTTTTGCAAGATGCATCGAAGATAACCAAAGCGCTCCCTCTTTGGTACTTCCTAATTTTCAATCATCACTCCTATCTCATTTGGATCCCCATTCCTATAAACTTGCACACTATATACTTTGTCTTTGACTTACTTAGACGAGAACCTATATATTCCAACACTTCCCGCCAAAGATACATATGCTTATATGTATTTTACAATTAACTTTTGGTGATGATGCACAGTTTAACACGTTTAATTCGTTTTCTTTTTACCAAGGGGAAGCATATCCCAAAATTAAAGGTGCGAAGTCTCAATCATCATTATAAAGTAGACAGAAAAAAATTAAGTTGGTTACGTTTCTTCAAGCCATCTCTAAATACTCTGCTTGGTGCGTCCATGTTTTCCATGTACATAATATTTAGCGCAAAAAAGGTTCCTTCTTAATTTGTTAACATTTTCCCTAATTCTATCTCCTAATTCGTTGGCTTTCAAAGGTAGTCAGTAAAATACGAAAGTTGAGTCGTTTATGAAAACATGTTAATAACTCTAATTTGACTAGTACACCCCCTAAATTGAGCCAAACAGAGTACAAGGTTGTTGAAGCTTGACTTGAATACATTTACTGTGCTCAACCTTGTTTGCAAAAACTTGACTAGCTAGGCTCACATGTGGGACAAGTAAAATTCGAGCTTTAAACTCAACATAGTATTATAATTTATTCATTTGAATGGAGGAAAGTTTGAGCTTAAAACTCGATGGAGCTTAATATTTCTAGCTACTTCATAAGTTGTCACACTACGATCCTGAGATATGTTTGGAATCGACTCGCGACGGAGGGACATTAGCGGTACAATATAAAATATGTAGAGTCACTGAGACTTATACATATAATATACATCAGAGCTTCAGCGGAATAACTTACAACAAAGGGTGGCATTCCTACTCTCGAGTGCACTGCCCACACAGCTACACCATCTGCAAACCTCTTCCCTAACCGCTACCCATTACTCTGCAAAATAACCCTGCGCCGTGGGAATGGGTCACCGGGCAAAGAAAAACCTATGAAGCTCGTGTGAGTGACAATAATACAACATATGTGAAAATAAATAACATCAAATAATTAAATGTCAAAGTAGTGCTATGTCCACACATGACACTTCTTTTATATACCGTATCAACCGTCAATTTGATCACCATCAATATTATTCCGTCATTCTCTTCGGATTGTGACTCACCACTCGCCTTTCTCATTTTCCGAATAATCTCAAGGGTCCAACCACCACATATATTATAATTTAACCACCATACGCCTCACTATACGTATATGAATGGTTAATCAATTTCGAATATCACCACAAGTCCGATAACATTCTTAGTTATCACACAACCCGATGTTGTGTAGGAATGACACAACATCAATAATACTATCACGTGTGAGATTGGTACCTTTTTCATTATTGCAATTCTTCGTTACGAGTAGGAATGAGTCACATCTGAATCCATTATCTTTTAGGCAACACCATCATGTAAACTATTTGATTCAATCATTTTCTAGATTGAGCCACACAGGCTGTCAATCTCAACTTTCATATATGTAATAAACAATAATCTAGGGCTATAGAGAGACACAGTTTGTTTGAGGCCTACAATATGTAACAGATCATGATGTGGTTCCCCATTACGGATTAACCAAGCAGAACCACTCCTGAGAACATCATGTAGGTAGTGACCCCCAATTGCGGATTAACCAAGCAGAGTCACTCCTACAAATACAATAGGTAGTGATCACCCATCCCAGATTAACCAAGCATGATCACCCCTAAATATGTATGTATGGCCATACTAAAGTAATAAGGATCACCCATCGCGGATTAACCAAGCACGATCCCAAAGTATGGTCCCCCATTGCGAATTGACCAAGCAGGACCATCCATGTACCACTGCTACATGGTGCAGATTCCAATTTAATCCCACATTATCCCATGGACTGGGTTAGCGGTCCTTTACTAGCCCTCACATATCACAATCATATCAAGCATATATATATATATATATATATATTTTTAATAGCATCATCAAGTAAACATAGCATAGTAGCACACATTTCCATATAATCATTTGGAAATCCATGTCATATCCACAAAGTATATAATAAGGAATTTCATGGGTAATAACCATATCACATAATATTAATGTCACTCACCTGGATTATTTGCACTCCTAGATTCACCAACTCCACTTCCAAGGAACCTAATACAACACACAAATCCCACTTAGGAAACTTAATAAGACTGACACGTAAAATGAGGCCAAGTGCCACTTGCACGTAAATCGAGACGCATATCAACTGGGAACGACACGTCATCATGATGAGCCAACTAAGCTCCATCAAGACTCAACAACATTCTAAAAATAACAAGAAAACTAACGAAAAATCCAAAAAAAACTTCCCTTTTAATGAAAAGCCATTTTTAAAGGTATAGTGAATGGTACCAGGGGAAAGGTATAAATGTGGTATTTCGTTAAAAGTGAACAGTACCGGAAGTGTTTTGTTAAAACTCCCAAAAATAACGACACGCTAGAATAGGGTACATTGACTAAAAATCCAAACGTCAATCAAAGGTCCTCTAAGGTCAACAACCTAGGTTATTCAATAGGTCAACAACCTAGGTTATTCAATTCGGATGATCTGCCCATCGGATTTCCGATTCGTAAGTTCTTAAAGGTCCAACAACTAATAACTAGGGTGCCCACAAAATTGCATGACAATCCAACTATCGAATTGTCGTCAATTACAAAAAAATCGTACGATGGTACAATTATTCGAAAAATTGAATAATCGAACCATCATATCGAATTTCAACGAACGGACTTTAGATATGGGCTCAGGATATCAAGAACATCTTGCTGACCAAAATCCATGAAACCAGATTCTCCCCCACGCATCGCCGCGCGTGGTTCTTTCCAGTGACCGGAAACCCATTTTTTTTATTAACTTCAAATTCTACCAAAAATTACAGGAAGATAGAGCTCAACAAGAGGAACAAGTTTTATACCTTCCACGAAGTCCAAAAGTTGACGGGAGTGGGTCAATTTTGCCGATAACATCGGCGGGTGCCTAAAGCTTCCCGGCGTCGATTCGCCGCCTACAGTGGTCCAACGGGGTCAAGTATGATTGGGATTTACTCCTGGGATGATGGGCTACAAGTTCCAAGTGGTGGAATCGGCCATCGCTTTGCCGATTCACCAAAAAAAATGAAAAGGGTGGCCGGAGCAATATTGATTTTCGTCGGTTTTCATGGCCTGGCACCGCCACATGTGGTGGTTAATCAAGGTGGTTCTTGGGTGAGTTTTGTAGAGGGAATTAAAAGCTTCAAGATGGTGGTGGTGACTTTGAAAAATTCCACCGGAGTTGGCCAGAATCAGCATCGGAAAATAGGAGGTCTCAGGGGTCAATTGGGTTGCGACTTGGGTTTCTGGGTTTTGTTTTTTTTGGCCTCTGAACCAGGTTTCCTGAAATGGAAACCTGCTAATTTAAGCAGTTAGGCTTTGGAAACTTACTACTCATAGTAAGTACATATGTCTAAAAGGTCTCATTACTTCCGAGACTCGTAACTTTTCCGTTCTAACTCGTACTTAAGATCCGTTTACGCCTACACGATCATGGAATCAAACTCTACCTAAACAACTCAAAAGTTAACCGAAAAGATCGAGAAAACGAAAAATAACTAAAGTACCCCTCACTTCGTTTTTCTCAAAATCGGAGGATTAACAAACTAGTTTCAATTAAAACTCTGAAATACGTCAAAAATAAAATAAATACTATTTTGGGGATAGGATATCACATAAATGCTTATCCTCACCCAGATAAAAGAATTTACTTTTATTCAGGTCTTAAGTTTGATTTCTTTTCTCTCAAAGTTGTAAAAATACATGATAGAAGTTAAACAACAAATACACTAAATTAATTAACTACGAAAGAAACTTTTCCCAAGCATATGTATCTAATTTGTGGTGAATATTGGCATTCCACATGCCTAAAAGCTTTAGCTTTACAAATTACATGATTCAAAATCCACCGAAACTTAGGCATGAATAATATTTGGATCAAGAAAATGGGAGAAGCATGCATGCATGCATAAAATCCCATCTATTAATCACACAACAAAATCAGATATTATATCAATCAAACCCTAAAATCTTCTTGAACCCATTTCCCCTCCACGAGAAGCAAAGCTAGGCGCCGAGCTCAACATCGGCACACAATACCCATCGGACGTGTAGTGCTTGTGCTTCTGGTTCGGCACCATAGGCAGCGCTTGTTCCGAATCCCTCCACATCTTCACCGACTTATCCAAGCTCCCACTATACACGATCCACCTCTTCTCATCGGATGTCAACTGATCGTGATTTCTCTCCACAGCCAAGCACTTCACTGGCCCCGTATGCCCTGACAGTACTGACAGGCAAATGTGGTCCCCGTCGGGGCCTAATCTCCACACGCAAATCCCCATGTCGGCGGAGCCACTGAATACTAAGCACCCGGCCGTGGCCAAGCACAGAACCGCAAGTTTGTGGCCTCTCAAAACACCACCGTGTTGGAGGTTCTTCTCCCGTTCCCAAAAGTTGACTAGCCCGTCGGACGAGCCACAATATATGATCGAGGCGTCTGTGTTCACAGCTATGGATGTGATTGCGTATTTCTGCTTTAAGAGCGTTTGTGAGAAGAAGTGTTTAGTACCTTTTCCTTGTAGCTCTTTCCGCCAAATCTTAACCATTCCATCTGCGGAAGCGGTGAAAACCAACCCATCAAATCCAACAACCAATGCATTCACGGCGTTGTCATGAGCGTTGATTGACTCCAAGCACTTGAAATCAGAAACCCTCCATACCTTAAACGTTTTATCCCACGACGCAGAGTAAAGCAACGTTTGATCTTCGCTCAAGCTCAAGCATGAGATGAAGTCAAAATGTTTGATCCATAGGACTTTGCTCTTGCCTCCCACTTCAACGTAATTACTCGGCTTCATGGAACACTTTATGTAATTCTTCGACATCGGTAAAGTTCCTATGCGCTTGTGGTTTGCATTCTTGTAGGACACCTTCCAAACCCTAATTTTCCCGTCTTGATGACCGGTGAAGATCTTCTCCCTTGCTATGATTATCGTTTTAACCAATCCACTGTTCGATTTGAACCCCGAATACTCTTTGTGCTGCTTCCAAATCCGAATGTTCTTACTATCCGAACCTGTGTACAACAAGTCTCCAGAGGTGGCCAGTGAGTATATGTGACCTTCCTCGGGCACCAACGTGCCTATGAGGACGTTGGGGGAGAAGTTTTCGTCAGCCGTATCTGAAGCATTATTATTATTGTCGTTGTTGATATTGTTGTTCATATGAGAAGACCATGGCGACTTATTCAGAGGAGACAAAGCGGCCTCCTCCGCCACCATCGAGTCTGGCTCGTAGCTTGGGGGTTCGAAAAACCCCGAGTTGTCGTGGTTCTCTTCGGAGAATGTGCGGTTGCCCCTGGACGAGCTTTTGATGGATTACATATAATCGTGAACAAATAAATGGAATAAAAGAGGGAAAACCAGGTGTTAAGGAAGCCGCAAGCTTTGAAAAGCAGCAACTGCAGGCTGGGAATTTTCCTTTTTTTATTTTTTTTATTTACTTTTTAGTAAAAAATACAATAAAATTAGATTTTCCCTTGGCAGCCATTGTGGATGATGGGCTGGCCAATCATGTGGCGCCACGTCGAATATACACCAACAGAACGGAGAAAAAGGTAAAGCTGCAGGTTGGATTGTGACTTGGTCAATGGACCAAAATTGGTCGGCATGCTTCCTGCTTGGATGATGATTGTGGTAAAGAGATGGAAAAAAATAGGAAGCACAAGAGACTTAATCAAATTATTACCCAAATTTTCTTTATATCTCTTATCTTATGTTATTATGTATGTATTAATTACTATTATCTTGTGTTACTATGTGTGTTTCTGGCTTCAATTAGCTAAGTGTCCAATAAAATCATGAGAGGGGAAAAACAAGAGACTTAATCAAATAAAATGAAGAATCTCATCGATCAGAAATACCATTGTATGATTACATGTACAAAACTTATGCTCGGGGGACAAAATTTTGCATCACCTTTTGATGAACTTGCAAAGGATAACGCTTCTTCGGCAAAGAAGCCTTACCATGAGACATCACGAAAAATGTTCTCATAGTCATTTTCCAAGCGAACAGACAATGAAACCACAACCAAAGCAAAAAAAGAACAACACAACACAAAACAAACTCTCTAGAGGTACAATTCCTCAACCGCAGCACACCTAACCAACATGAAAGATAAACTCACAAGGCAACTCTACTGGTCAAACTCAACACTGTCAAGACACACAAAATAGACATCATACCATCACTTGAAGACCTCATAATGACAAACGACAAAATAAAAATGGCAATGAATCCCTCAAACCACTGCTACGACCCCATGAGAGAAATACCACACCACCATCTGATGATCTTGCATTGTTGAAAAAAAATCTTGTTATGAGTCACCTTCAACAAATGTCGAGTTCCCACATAATCCTTCCCAAAAGCACAAACGACAAAATGACAAACTCATATTTCAACAACAATTGTCGCTTTAAAATTCGAGTTGTGCAGTTTGTCATAACTGCTTAAAAAAGCTCTCTTCCTGATCATGAGAGAGTGACCACAACCTCAACCATAAAGGCACTCCTTTATGTATAAAGATAAAACTTGCATTCTCCTCTTGGGGATGAGCTCATTTCCCACTTGCAAATCACGTGTATTCACACTAAATTTTGTACAATCGTAACTCTCAATTTCTTAATCTTCATTTGAAGATCATTTGATGTATTGGACGACTAAACGATTTCCTATTCGAGTGATTTTTTTTGTAAGGATTATCTTCAAATGAAGATTACGAGATTTAAAGTTCCGATTATAAAGATTTTACGAGTGGATGAATAAGATAAACGCTTTAGTATATTGATGCATGAAAGTTGATTGGCGGGACAAGGCCTTCATGACATGGATGGTGAAGAAATTTGGAGACTGGTTAAGGTGAATTGAAGTACTTAATACAATCACTTATTGACAATCAGAGAAATTGTTACTTTATTCAAAATAAAAAAATCAAATCAAATCAAATCGAAGAGAACAAATGCTTGTTTATTCTTTTATTCTATAAAACAAACAAAATAAATCATGAGCTTTAGATTGATTAAAAAAAAACTTAAGTATCTGAAGAATCCCCAAAAGGCAAAAGCCCAACCGACTATAAGAAAGCAGCTGTCCGATTTTAGTTTCCCGCCGATACGCTCGCACCCTTCGTCTACAATCTTCACTTCACCTTATCGCTCCAATACTTTTCCGTTTGTTTCTCGAGAAAATTCCCAACGGAAAATTCCGATTTCTCTAAACAGAAAAACAACGATTACCCCAATCTCCCACCGTTAGATAACCCAATCACAATGTTCCCGAGCACCGCAGCGCGACGGAGACTGGCTTCTGTGCTGCGGCCATGGCTCCGGGAGGAGCCCGACCTCGATCTCAAATTAGGGGTTATCAATTCCCACGCGGTCGCCAGGAACCTCCGGTTCGACACTGGGGCTCTCAACGAGCTCTTCGACGAATCGGCCGAGTTTTCCTTCTCAGAGGTCACTGTCGAACACTTGAGCGTTCGGTTCTCGAACTGGCTCGTCCCTGCCTTCTCAATCGAATTTCATGGCGTCAATGTGGAACTAGCAGCTCGGTAAGTCACTGCTTCTGCTTTTTCTGTGTTCAATTTTCCTCTTTGTTTAATTTCTTTGCATTATTTGGTTTTTGCAAGCTTGATTTTTTATTTATTTTTGGGTTTTTCTTTGATAGGGAGGAGAAAAATTTAAAGCGAAAACCGAGGGAGGAATATGCAGAAGATGTGAAGAAGAAGAAGCTTTCGGAGATAGATCCCGAGGTAGGCATTGTTGTTGCTAAATGCTAATGTTGAATTTCAAGTTTTTCGTTTGTTAATGTTCTCTCTTTTAGTTGGGTGAAAAGTACTTGTTTTGCTTACTTGATTGGTGATTCCCAAATGTCAAACCCCGGGAGTTTTTGCTTGATTTTCAGGGTAGTGCTTTACATGGTGTTTTTGAAAAGCTTGTGGCCACTTCTACTCCAACAAAAAGTTTTAAAGACACCCTTTGGAATCTCTTACTGAAACACTGTCAGCTTCGAGTGCACGATATCAATGTACAAGTTAAGGTTCCCATCTTAAATGATTCACTTGTTTGTGTGTTCGACGTAAGAGATATCAATGCAGATCCTCAGTATCTTGATCACAGGTGTCTTCTTCGAGGTCTATTTGGTGCACTCTTTCTACCTTTGAAAGAGAGCTCTTTTGTTATAGCAGGCAGTAGTTTTGAGGTGGGGTTCAAGAGAGAAAATCAGCTCAAAAACGTGTTGTTATTGACTGATTTGTGCACTTGCATTAGATTAAATAATTTTCAGCTCGTGGATGTAAATCTTCAATTTCCAGAATTACATTGTACATTTTCTCCGGATGACATTTATTGGTATTCAGCATTGGGTAAATTGTCATCCCAAGAATCTCGATCTGCTAGAAATGGTGTCCAACTATGGAAACTAGCTGCAAGAAGTATGGACAACTTGACTTCAGGTTCTAGGTGGTCGTTGCAAAAATTAGTTGGTCTTGTTTGTTTATGGCTACGTTATGCTAATGCTTACGAGCAGTTATTGTTAGCAATTGGATATTCTGATGATCACTCATTGAAGAGATCAGCTACTAGAATTTCTCAGGACAAGATGTTTTTGGCTTCTGTAAAGAACCAATGCAAGGTGATTTTTGATATAGAGAAACAGTTGCCGGCTGAAGCCATTGTACAGGCATGGAGAATCGCCCGTCATAGAGCAGCATCAAATGCTCAATCTACCAAAGATAGTTTAAAAAAATCCTCCATGATTACTCACTTCAACTTCCCTCTCAAGATCCTTCTGGTACTAGCCTGTACCTGGAGAGTTCTGTGCAAGATATTCCACTTTATCATACACTTGTTAACTTTTAGGAAAGTATTGGACAAAGAGCCAGACAATGCAAATTTGGATATTGTTTCTGGAGGTCTGTGTAAAGATTTTTGCTTCATCGTGATCTTTGGAAATGTTCTAATCACTATTTCTCATATAAATGAAGTTCAAATCTCAGTAAATAAACAATTAGAATCACATATTGGAATCTCTTGTTCAGATTTCCTATCATTTCGTCTTTCAGTTGATTCGCTGTTCTTAAAATATGTAGAAGACATGTGTGAACAGGCTGTACTTATATCATGTGGGCAGTTGAAGGTTAGATCCTCATCTCTTTCGAAAGCTTCTGTTAGAGAAATCATTTCAAATGTGGAAGAACATTGGAAGGAGAGAAATGATGATTTCAAGAATATTTTGTGGGGTGAGCCAGCACAAACTTTTCCCCTTTCAGAAACTTACGAAACTGCTTATGCTGATCATGCGGAAGGTGCTTGTGCCTCATTTTTGAAAACATTTCTTGGAGACATGTGGTTGAACTGGAAAAGATCCAGCAAAAAATTTGAAAAAAGTGAGATTCGGTACTTTGAAAACCCATTCCTTCTCTGTGAAATTAAAAACTGGACATATCCAGACCTCAAAAACTCGGAGTCTGGGTTTTCGAAGTTGTTTTTGACCATGGGAAAGTTGAATCTAGTTTTGGGATGTCCCTCCATACTATCAGTATCTCTGCTCTTAAAGCAAATGCAACATGCTCTATGCTGGACGGAGGACAATGGTCAGTCAGGGGTTCTGCCACATTCTCCAAGAGCTAGTAATGATAGCATTTGCACGCACTATGCTAATAGATTGGAAATGGCATTGCTTAAGACGCTTCCAGAGAAACATGTTCAACTAGGTATATTTGCAGCTGGTCCTCACATCCGTATGTCATTGGGAAAGAGTTTTGATGGTGGCAGCAAAGACATAAATCATCAAGTGAGTCAGGAGGATTTTCACCTTGCATTTGATGTGCACAGCATAGAGGCTGCAGTATGGCCAACCTCACAATTTGATCTGGCATCATTTGTTGCACCCTTAGGAGCTGATGATGTAGAAACAAAGTGCCTCAGGTTGGAGAAGCCTCTTGGAGTTGATAAATTTAAATCAGATAATGGAAAGTATCAATCTCAGGGGTCAGTTTCTCTTGGTTTTTATTTACACGTTGATGGTTTAGATGCTTACCTGATCGACTCAGCAGGAAAAAAACAAAGTGACATTTTAGTTCTGAAGCCAATGACCGTGTGGATGTCATCCTTAAGGTAGGATTTTCTTGCTATGTTTCACTCTATATCTGTTCTCCTGGAGGTTTGATAGCTTAATCTCATGTGCTTTTTTCTCCAATATTTCAGAGAGGTTAAAACGATGGTTGCCTTATAGAAATTTTCAACTTAGTTTTCATTCGATCTATGTTTTCTAAACCCTTCACCCTTCACA